ATTTGTAAACAACTAGCCTTTGGAATGCTGACTCCCACTGATCGTCACGCACCTTCCAAATAAAGCCCAGCCCTTCAAGACGCTTAACTTTCTTCTCATCCAACTTGCCCTTTGCCATGGCTTGACGCTGTTTGCACACCCATTTTCCAAGAGGGTAGCCCGATGCGGTTTTGTACCGTGTTTTCACCAAGAGGTCGCCAAATGAATCTCTGAAGGCAACAAGCTCTTGAAACCCCCTCTCCCACTCATCTCCTCCCAACACTTTGCGAAATACATGGACTCGCAACATCTCTGCTGCTGCCTCCACCACACCCTGCACCTGTGCAGACTGCAAGGCTTGCGCCGAAATCCCGACACGGCCATCTGCTGTTCTCCCGTTCCTTCGAAGGGACTCCTCAAACACAGGATCCACCGCTGCAAGGTCGCCGAGCAACCGGCTCAGTTCGGCATCTTCTACCAAGGTGCTGTTGGCGCACTGCACGATGGGTGGGGCTATCACCAGGGCCTCAGCTCGAACAAGGCAGCGTAAAACCGCAAAAAGGCAATGAATCCGAACTCGTCGACTGAGATTCATGGGACCATGGAAGAAACCAACAGAAGGTCATTTGAAGGTACGTAACTACTGGACTCAGTCACTTCTTATTTGCGCCTATGATACGTTGTAGTTCAAGACCGGACCTTCAATTCTGCACACCAATTCCAATAGTCACACTGGGTCAAGGTACGTCCACCTTGTCGGGATGGTTGCGAAGCACCCTTCCCACACACTGCTGCAGTCTAATCCCGCTCCTCGGCGCCACGAACATACACGTGTCGGCCGCCGGCAAGTCCACCCCTTCACTGAGGACGTCAACGGTCACCAACACACGTATTCCACCGTGAGCTTCACTCCGTTCGAAGCTTTCCAGTATGCCCTGCCGTTGTGATGCTCCCGTATGAGCATTGTAGTGGCTAGCAGCTATGCCGGCTTTGGATAGCATGTGGGTAAAGTTCTTGGCCTCGTGAACAGTGTTGCAGAAAGCAAGGATCTTCCGAGCCAAAGGCCTCAGCTTGCCAAAAAGAAACCACACATACATACACATACGCAACGTATGCAATGATGAGAAATTGACATCCACCACACCACACTGTCCAAATGAGCAAGACGCAATACCACTCGACACTGACACCCCACACTTGCAGGGAACAACAAACAATGTATTGCAACCAACTCCTCTGCCCAAGTGACGTGTTCTGAATAAGCTCCACCAAGCCCGGCCGCGGATCCCCCTCCGTCAGCACCGGCACCATCACCGTGTAGTCCTTGATCACCTTCGCTCGGATCGCCGGCCGCAGGCCGAAGTCGAAGTCTGGCGCAGTCCGCAGCGTGGCGCTGAAGAAAATCCGCTTGGCGGCGTGAAGCGACAAAACGCGCCGAGCATGAAGTCGCCGCTGGAGCCATCTTCCATGGGTTGATCGGTGTGTTGACATGGCTCATAGTGGTGAGCCTCATCCAGCAACAACACATCAAGTGACAGGTTTTCCAGTTGCCATGCAGAGTTCCGGACACATACGAAAATGTCTGCAGCCAAATCTGCCGGCCAGCCAGTGCCCACGCGTGAAACGCTCTTAGGAAGCATCGTTTCCAGCAACGTTGCCATCTGTTCCATCAAGTCCAGCTTTGGTACGATGATGCATGCTTGTTTTCCATGAGCCAAGTCTGCTAGGAGGTTTGCCATAACCAAACTCTTTCCGGTGCCTGTGGCCATCTGCACAAAGAAGTCGCGCTGGGACGTGTTCTCAAGGAAGCTCCGGCACTGCTCCAAGCATTCCTTTTGCGAAACACTTGTGCTGTGCAACAGTGTGATCACCCTGCTACGAAAAAACACTGTGTCAGGTCCACTGTCAGTTTGCGAACCCGAGAAATTTCTAGAGACTACCCTATATATGTTCAGCAGTAGCAGGAAGGAAATCTTGCTCGCCAAATTGGATCTCTCTCTCTCTCCGCTTTAAATATCGTCCGTTCTGAAGAAACATGGTCACAGCATATACACATGCACACAAATCGCACAAATAGACAGAAAAGATCAGAAAAGTATATAGATCTCCACTAATAATGTATTGGAAACCGTGCACCACCTATTTGGGGACCACAGATCAACCACTACCCGCCAGGTCTCAACTTGGTGTGGCCACAGTTTCTTTGATCGTCGCAACACTCTCCGAGGAGGCCTGTGCTCCCTTGGCTGGAGCGAGGTCGGAAAAGCAAATGAAATGAAGCACGGTTGCCAGCGGGCCTCCTCCCTATATAAAGCCTTAAAAGAAAAACTGTTTCTCAGGGTGTGAAGTGGGCACTACAATGTTTAAACAAAGCAACACGACTAATTGCTACTCATTAGAACTCCAAGCTGCTGTGCTCTTCTTCTCCACTCTTCCACCTCTTGCTCTCCATATTTCCGCTGCTCCGCACCGCTCCATTGCCACTGCCGTGGCAGTCGGGCCGTGCCACTGGTGGCGACGATGAGTCGTTGGACGAAGGGCTTCAGAGGCGAGTTCTCCGCCTCCAGGGTAGACGAACGGGTGGTGGGTCCGTACGCAGTACACCCGCTGTGGGTCCGTGGGTCACGACCGGGACGCCCTGGGATTTGTTTGGACCGAACATGAATCGAATGGACGATACCAGCGAGATCCGATTGTCAGGGCGAAACGGGCTCCAGGTGTTGGCCCAGAGCCATGTTGGATGCTTAAGTGGATGGCAAAGGCCCACTGGAGCGAGAACAACAGTCTTCACTGGGTGGGGGTGGATCAAGTATCTAAACATATTATTATATAGTCTATTATGGTGTCTAATTTCCTATCTACATCTGCGGTGCAAATCCTTTAGCATGTGAGTAGGGGAGAAGCATGCCCAACATCGAAACATAACTCGGATTCACGACACCTGAAGTAATTTGGAACTGTTCTGGACCCGCTGCCATATGATTGCAACATCCGGAGTTTGTGGTGATATGATATATATATATATATACCTGTCCTTCGCCATGTAGTAGAAGTTTGTGAGCCTCAGTGAGATGGCACCACATGGCAAATGATTTCTTCACTGCAGGTTGGGAACGTGGGGAGGATTGCCCCCTTGCACAGCGGGATGCTAGTGGTGCCATGATGCGCCATGCAGCATGCACAACTAATATAGGAACCCGATTTTGCAAAAGAATCAAGCCGAAAACACTCTAACAATCATCCACCCCAGGTACATATTGCAAATCAATAAAGCAAGTGATGTGGCAAATGCGTGGCTCTCCTCCCAAGCTACCTCCCAGATCTCCCCACACCGATCCCATACCCAGTAGCCGATTCAAAGGCACCAGGCCATTGGTGTAGTCCTTGGCTTGCACCGCCACGGTGAGGTTCAAGGCCAAGGAGTCGATGCCGCGGTCCTCCAAGGGCAAGGCCAAGTGCTCCTGGAGGGATTCGAGGATTGAAGATCCACAGGATGGTTGGAATCAACAAAATAGGCATAGCTGGGTGTGTTTTTAATTGTTTTAATAAGTTATATCATATCTCTGTGTGTGTGTGGGGTTTCTTTATTGGCCATAGCCCCGAATAGCCCCATAGCTGAGTTCTATTGGCTTGGTTCATGTAGTTGAATTATGAAACCCACTTGGTCAGGCCATAGCTGAGTGATTTATATGTGTGTTTCTTGATGGATTAGTTGATGTATTTGGAGCTATCAAGCCCGCTCGGCCCCTCTCTACCTCTACTCTGATGTCATCTAACTTCCCATTGGAGAATTCCTTGAGCTGCATCATGTCCGATGGAACGTGGGAATTTGATTTCCAAGAGTTTCCATCTGGTGCATGCGGAAATGCAAAACACAAAGCCTTCTCCACAGTGATCCTTGGATTTAAAGGCCACCCTGAACAACTCTAGATCATACTTCACACAACGTCCACCGCCCGTGTGCGTCGACTTGGACCCTCTAGGACTTCTTTTCCAGCTCTTCAATCTGTTGGGCATGCACTGTGAGGACGCTAGCCCCAAATACCCCAAATCACGTCTCCCCCCCAAATGCCCATCGCAACAGTGAATCTTCGCATACTTAAGAAGAAACAATAAGAAAGAAACCATTGCAAACCTACAATGGCTTGACACTTGTTCTTGAAAGGTCTTTCATTATTGCCATACACCCTGGCCATACCAGCGACTGACTTACCCATTCTGCCCATGTTGACGCGGTGGCACGTGGCTCTCCTTGAGTCGCTGTGGCACATGGCTCCAGGGCACCGTGCCCAAATCCAAGGCAGAAATCAGCTCCTTGGATCAAAAACACTATCCTGTTCATATGAATGCGGGAGATCGTGCCGGCTTTCTGATTTATATAATCAGCTTAATCAGCTACTTAAACATGCGATTCCGGGAGGTCGTGCAGGCTTTCTATAATATATATAATCAGCTACATGATGCTACATGTTTGGACATGTTTGCATAATTAGTCACAGCCAATGATATGTTTTGAGCTCATTGATCCGAGGACAATCGTAGTTTGAGCGGGAGTCAAATACATGAGGTCATGGAGAATAGCAGCAGCTTTACTACCAAAGGAGCCAAAGCCTGTAGGATCCCAACAATCCTACCCCGCTACCGTGCCAAACTCCCCAAACATCTACTAAGGCATCCAAAGCACTAGCTCCTTCCCGGGCGGCAGATCTCCCACTGCCAGCGCCTCCCATGCCTTTGCCCGCACCGCGCGGTGCGTCTGCCGCACCTCCACCGCGCTCAGCGGCGGCCGCTGCACCACGGCCGGGTGGAGCGGCTGCAGCGTGGCGAGAAGAGCCAAGGGAGTTTGGCGCGACGGCGGGAGGAAGCTGCCATAATGATTTATTGTTATGCCAACCTGTTTGCGCAAGCAATGGTGTTTAAGTGTTATAAGATGTTCTAAGTTCCAAGCTTTTAGAATATGTTGGTTCTATATTGGCATTGGCGGCATGGCCCCAAAACAGTGAGTAGGAAAACATGTGGTGGGTGCGGTGATAAGTTCAGTTGATGGCAGGAGAATTGAAAGGACCTGTAGTGCCAAAAAGCTTGCTGCTAAGGGTCTGCTGCTCTTTGTGGCTACTTTGTGCAATGGTGAGCTGACACGCTTCAACATGGGTACTAGACGCACCACGCTCCAACTCCTCAAGAGTTGCCGAATTTCGGTAACCAATGCCTTGCAACCCCAGAGTTCAGGACTTGCCGTCACGACTAGCGCATGCTGATATCTTCACGATGCTTCATATGCTTCATGATCTCCAGCCATGTGGCAGTACCCCAAAGACATTCTCCTGGATCGAACCAAGACACACCGCTCTTCCGGCTCTTTCGAGCACCCAACAAAAACCCACCTTGAGCAAAGCCCCTCCTGCCAGGACGTGGTCTAAGAAGTTCCAGTCCAAACGTTCTTGGAGGTGGAAGACCTGTTGCTGCGGGGAACGCGGAGAACAAACGTTACACATGGCTCTTGGCCGGAGAGAATCTCCGAAAAGGAAAGTCTATATGGTATTTGATTTGAATGTCCTTCTCACAATCCCCTTTCTGAAAGGGGAATTTGATTGGCCTATAGTCACCTAGTCTTACAGTCTCCTTGCTGAAAAGGGATTTGATTAGTCACCTAGTCACCTAGCCTATAGTCACCTAGTCACGGATGGTTCATCTGCCTCTTGCCAATCCTTGATGTCCAATCCTTAAGCTTTCGCCGCCTACAGCCCGTGCCAAGCGGCGCAACGTGATTCGATCCATTGCGAGCGCTTCCTGGGACTGTCTACGTTGCAACCGTGTAGTTGACACATGAGTGGCCAGACCATCAAGCAGCAGGTTGCAAAAGACCATCAACAATCATGCAATTATAAGTATCATGAAAACAGGTCAGTTGAGGAAACAGGTCAGCTAAGTATAAGTATAATGAACTTCTTTTTGTTGAAACTGGACGGTTGAGGATCCTTCCAACATCTTCCCGAACAGTACAGTACTCTTGATTCTTGGCCTGATGCAACCGAAGGAAGAGCCAAGCTCCGTGCCCCGACACCGAACTAGAACAACTTCCATGCTCAACAAAAACATGCAAGCACTTCTAATTAGGTGTTTAATTGGAGAAATCTTCTATGCTATAAATTCATGCGCACCCTCATCAGGGCGTCTCACGAATTCCCAACTGTCCAGCAACACCCGCTTGCTCTGCTAAGCCAAATGTATGGGTTGCAATTCTCGAGAGACCTCACTACCCAAGCATAACAAACGGCTGTCCAAACAGGTCAAGAGTGTTCCAGCCTGGGGGGGAGCTTCTCGCTTAGCAAATGCATGTCCAAAAAATTGTTGAGTGTGTCTTGCAGTTCAGAAGGACTCACGGACTCAGCAGCTTCTCAGCCCAGTTTCCAGGTAGAGGTAAGGTGCACAAAGAACTGCTCGTAGAGGAAACTCGTGGCCTGGGATCTGTCAAAAAACAGCAAAGGAAACTCCTTCTTCAGAGGGGAGTTGGCAAAACAGTCACAAACAGCGCTTCAAGTTCTCGGGATGCTGTATCACATGAGTTCTTTTGTTTCACGTTGTTGCCTTGGCACTGGCTCCCTCTAAAATGTTCAACCCTTTGAGTGGGGTGGGCTGTTGGGCTTGGATGGAGAGAATACTGGAAGAAGCTAAGGACACGATTAGCCAAGTGTATTGAGTGAGTCCTTGGTTCAACCCGCCTAACGACATGACAAAATAGCTAAAAAAATAAAGCAAACGCAAACTGAAGATGCACCAAGGGCATGCGGCATACACCTGCATCTGGCATCGGCCCCACCAGCTTAATCCAAACAAACTTCCTGATGCATTGCACTCGGATGGCAGGCAATATCTATAGAAATACATCATGTCATCATGGCTTCACCGGATCACGACTCCAAGCATTTCGAACCCGCTTGACCCTGGTACCAGTGCGGTCTACCCACACGCCGTAGCCGTTTGGCGCGCCTTGTCCCGGTCGTACTTGAAGCGTTCGGTTCGGGAGACCGTGAGGTCGGTGGCTTGGGGCTTGAACCTGAGCCACGACGAAGCGTCCGTCAGCGTCACGGCACACCGTCAGCCGAACGTCGGGGCAGGCGATCAGCGCAGGCATTCGACGTACTGAGCAGGTTTGTATAGATGGGATACTGGGCCATTTGTACATGGCCTGGGATCAAATAACTGCGAATGCCATCTGAGTGTGATCCCCTATATATGGTCCCAGGCTCGTCAGTTTTTATACACGTTTGGTGGAAAAATCCATGGGTTCGTCAGTTTATTGCGAGTAGTGAGAGAAGCAAGGAACACCAAAACACCTGCATATGATTACTATGATGTGCAAATAACATCTCCTTCCAGCTGGCGAGTGATCATATACAAAGATAATTCCCCCAAGAATTCTGTATAATAGCATGCTCTATATATATATATCGCTATATATTTAAAAAACATAATCCCTAATGCTCCAAGTACCTTCTAAGAAGGTGGGACTGGGGTGGGTGCCAGGAGGGTCCAGTCATACCGAACCTGAGCAGGTACGACTGGAGCCCACAGATCTCTCCCGTGGTTCCGCTCCGCGGCTGGGACTCCGCTGAGCCACCGCCACTCGGAGCCACAAGCGGCCAAGACCGTCAGGTCATGGAGAGAGGTGGGCAGCAAGTTGGCGTAGACCTGGAATTCACACCACCAAGGACTGGTCCCAGGCAGCCTGAGATACACCTTATTACAGCATGTAAGGTCATGTAAGATCATGAGCGAAGGGCCAAAGGTGACTAGCCATGAAAGCAACTTCTTCAATATGTTATTCGCATTGTGGCCTCATCTTTCCTATTGAAAAAGTATCCGTGAAGCCACCACACCTGCCATGGCTGCATCTGCTCAGGCTTTCCAGCCTGGCAAGCGGCAGCGAGCGCAAAGCGGATCGTAATAGTTATTGAACATCTGCACCTGAAATACTCATTGAAGTGGGACACTGGAACCCATAGATGACCATTTTCCACTACAGACTGGTGGTGTTCAACCTCCATGAATATTGCATCTGCTGTGTCTAGCCCATTTTCTGATCAAAAACACTCAGAGCCAGAGCTGCCCATGCCACCACTCGGCCTCTTGATCCCCTGCGACGCCATCGTGCCAAGCAATCTGAGTTCCACCCAAGGCTGCCAACCTCAAGCCTCAAAAAGTCAGGACACAAAGGCACTCGGTGCATCTTCGATGACTTGCACTTACTCTTGCGCGATTTTGTATATATAAGTATATATATAATATACATATATATATATAAGTATATATATATATACATATATATATATATACACGCCAGTGCTTTTTGAACCCTGGGTGAGTGGATAATGGGCACCCCTATCCTCCAATAGGCACCCCTTTGTGACTCCTGGTGTACACCTAGAACCTGAGTGACCCCAGTTCTAGAGCCAAACAATTGTCTTTCCCTTAAACACGGAGGCTGAAGGCATATACAGCTATAGAGTATATATATATACAGAAATAAGGGCCTTTGTGAAAAAGTTCTCCCATGATCTAAGGAGATCAGGGCAGCCAATTTAGACGCTCTTACAAAAAGGGTCCCACAACTTTCAATTACCTGCAAAGCTGGTGCTGGTCATTACGCTCCTGCAGACCCTCAAAACCACTAGATTGCAAACAAAATCGTCTTCCACGGTGCATTTTTTCAGGGTCCAGGTGAATTAGTCTGCAAGGGGGTAGGCAATTCCATGTAGTTCTGAATTTTTACCAGTGCTGACCCCTCCGCGCTAAGTTCCATCCCGGAAGATGTCTTCCTCCAGGACCATCATCGTGTACGCCCAAACATTCGAGATGTTGCATCACGATTCATTTTTGCATGCTTATTTTCACTAGGCCCTCGGCTTGTGTTTTACCCCGGGCTATTAAGGGATGGCGAAGGATATCCATGCGCGGTCACTTGGGGCTGCACAGCTTGTGGGGCCCCAATGATTTGTAGTGCGCAGTTCGCGCACCTGAGTGAGGTGATGACCAAAAGGTGCGACCACGCTCTGAGCCGTAGAGCCAATAGAAGACCAAAGGAGCCTACCGATAGAGGATATAGGACAAATATGGACAAATGGTCTTTTCCCTCAAAATCCATCTCCAAAAAGGAAGACCCTCCAGGCGGCCCAACCCACCAAGTCATACATGAGCTCCAATTTGGCGCCTCTCTGGCGGTGAGAAGTTGCTGAAGCCAAGGGGGTGGCCCACATTCTCACCAGAAGGGAGTCTTACACTCCAGTGGAGGCCCGCATGGGGTGTGAACGTCGTCGGAGCCGGGCGATCATCAAAGATATAGCAAAGAGGTGTTGGTTTCTGAAAAGCAGGACTGGCAAGTCTGAACCTGTAGCAGGAGATCAACTTTTGATCTCCAGCGCTATGAGCAGTCGCTCGGTTTCGGCCAAAACCGTGGATTGGACTGTCAGCATTGGTAAAATTCACGTTTTTTGTCTCTTTTGTCCGCTTCTGGTGTCAACTTCATTTGATTTCTCTGTTCAACACGGTCAAGCTCCCGGAAAGGATTCGAAAGCATTTACCATTCATTTTTATGTAATATATGTAAACATGATCCTTTTCTCACACTTTCGTTTCAGTACCGTGGACGCCTGGATGAATCAACAGTACTATGATGTACTATGGATTCACCCTCCCAAGCCTGAAGAGGCTTTACAAGGCTGTTGCAATCCATCTCTGGGGACTTTTCCTCTTGAAGACCAGCACCCGGTGAATCACTCTCTGGTGTCCCTCTGCTGGGTCCCCTCCCTCCCTCCCTCCCCACAAAAATCAGAACATGGCCTGTGAAATGCTGCGTGTGAACTGAAGGGTGCCAGTTCTTCAAAAAAGACCTGCGATGGGTCCTGAAACTCTGTGCCACACCGAGTTGTCAACAGCTCCGCACCATCGTCTACGCCGCGTAGAGCGCCCTCCGCGCCCATCGTTTTTTTCGCCTTCGTTCACGTGTTTTTTCTCACTTGGGCCGTGCGGCGGCCGAAGCCGGGCGCGTCATGCGACGACAGCAGCTTCCCCCGGAGCAAGTCATGTTGGTTTTCCATGGCCTACGCCGTCTTGCCAAGGGGCCTGCCATGACCTCTATAGGAGGATTCACGGGGGGATTCATGTTCCTACATCCCGAAGTACGGGTCACCAATAGAAGCCAAACTCATGAAGCTTTTCAAACTGCCATAGCGACGCACAGCCGGAGAGTTGAAGAGGCGTCCGGGCGCCGGTGATGAAAGAGATCAACGAAGCAGGGATCCATGCGCTGGGAGTCCCAACATCGCATACAACCTCATACAACTTGAACATGTGTGTGCATGTGTCAAGCAAACATGTGGAACCGTGCTAAAGCAATGGAACATCACGTGCTTCTTGGATAGCTGCAGGAAAAACGAATGTGAGCTAGACCATGATTGACAGGAACTCCCACACCTCCCAGAAATCGAGGTGTTTATCCCCGAAAACACCTCTGCCCACTGTTAAAACTAGAGAGTTTGGGCCTGGGGTCAGCTGCAAGGGCTACTTCCGCAACTGCCATGAAGAACTTCCCACCAAAAAGGTACTGTCAGCTTGAGGGGGTGTGTTGGGGCTATGTTGGGTGGGCTCACCTCTGTGCTTCTTTCTGCAACTTCCTACCGCACATGACTTGTGCAACAAGTATGGGAGCTTCCGCTCAATCCTTTGTCAAGGAATGGCAAGGAATTTCAAAGTACTTCAGTGAGGTAGCAAGGCCCAGCAACAAGCGACGAATTCACCAACCGGGCCCCTACAAAGCCAATCCCCAATAAAACACGCAAAATAACACTGAAAGCTCTGATTGAGAGGCATGCCTGCAGGTTTGCTGGGGGTTGTGAGTACGTCTTACAGGTGACCTTATAGCAAACAAAAACAAGTATATATGAATATTGAGTGACCCAAACTGGAACCAAAAACACGGTCATATGATTCTGGGCACTCTTGGAGGATTGATCCAAGTTGATCTCTTCTGCACCATTCAAGGAGGCCCCGGACAAGTACAGCCAATCGTCCATGAAACCGGGTCATGGAAGCAAACTCAGGTGCTTCGATTGAAAACGATGGCAAGCTCGCCTGTGAAGACATGAAAATGTCTCTGTGTTGCTTTGATCTTAAAGAAGTCGCGGGAAAAAGAAGAACTTGTTTTTCCTTTGACACGTCTTATGGATCTCGGGTTGTGCCACCTCTTAGGTTTGTGCCATCTACTTTGACATAAATATATATATATAGTGTATGTATAGTCATCAATTTGCGCAGTCATTGTAGTTGTTAGTTGTATTGTATGATTTGCATGCACGCTTACTCCTCCAACATAGGACGCCATGAAAACAAAAACCTGGTGAATGGAGGACTCAAACCTGCAAAGGTCCCTGTTTGGGGTTTTCTCCTCTTCTTGGAGGCCTCTGAAGTTCCTCTTCTAAGAATGACACGACCTGCTACTGCCATGCTGGCGACCGTGCACCCAAAGGTTGAGGAACTTTCAAAAAACCGGTTCGTTTCAAGTGACTGGCCTAATAAAAGCTTCAGAACCGACAAGCGATCGAGTTTGGTGGGGAACTTGGGATGATCAGTCTTTAGCAAGTGAAACGGTAATCTGGTTGGTTGTTTTTTTCAACCCACTTGAAAATCATGAGTCAGAGGGTCCAACCATCCCCAAGTAAGGGTTGAAAATAAACATATCCGAAACCATCACCTAGAGTCTCCTAGTAATGAAAGAGTCCTGCGCCGTTCCCACACAGAGTCAGGTCGACTCAAAGCGAACTCACCACTGGGTGCGAACCACAAGGCTCGCGAGTGGCAGGACTGGACCCCTTTGGAGGGGCACGCGCCTGATCTGACAGCTCCTGAAATCGGGGCTCCCGAGTGGAGGGCTCCGTTCAAGCTTTCTGGGACTTAACATCTGAGTGGCTAACATCTTGGAGGGTTAACATACCGGTTCACCAACAATACATGAGACAGCTCAAACCGGTCTGGGTCCAATCACTTCGAGCATCTCAGGTCGCACACTCGGAAGCCCCAGGAAGCAACTCATGGATTCCTTCGAGTGAGTTGGACGACGGATGGAGCGCATTCATGTCCGAGAGCTTCTCATGGCCAATGTATCTCGTGATTGATCTAGTGCTGCCCTTAGCTACTAGTCACGTCCTTGCTACTAGTAGCGATGCCCTTGTTACTAGTAGCTTCTGGATACACTAGTCCATGCCATTTAACGTCACTGCGTCACCTTTAAAGGCACGTCTCTTTTGGGATGGCTGAAATGGTGACATTTGGTAAAAGGGTCTCCACCATGAGATGGACTATGATGGACTGCTATGACAGCTGCTATGACCATCCGACCCAACGATTCGCATCCTCAAACTTGCTGCAGCTCATTGCAGCCGTATGCCCAGCACAATGTTCGAGGCCCAACAAACGCCCAGGTCACAGAAAGCTGCCGCGTGGTTGCTTCCGCGCCGATGAGGCACATCGGCAGAGAAGCGGTTGGGGCACAACGGCAACGCCGTTTGCGAAATTGGGTCTCCCCTCTCCAGCCAGTGTCTTTTCTTCAAGCCAGTTGTGACGCGGAGATCCTGCTTTTCGTAGTCGTTGGTCTTGGATTCTCCCCGTAGTCAGCCGTAGTCGTTAGCTCTGAATGGGCACTGAACAAAGCGTGCCTGTCAACAAGCACCAACCTCATCCAAGCTGTGGAAGAGACACAGCTGGCCCACCAAAGTGTCTGGAGAATCAATCTGTGATTCCTACTTGAAAATGCGTGGCAAGTGGTTGACTGATGTAGACTTGCTGGAGGCCAATGTCTGGAACTTAAACCCAAAGGCTACACTATGTATTGTAAGCATCCAGTCCATATCTCTTAGATCCTTCGATTCTAGCCCTTGGCTCTGTGATCAACGCAGAAAGGCGAATCCCAACCGACTCTTCAGAGCGACCTCAAACCAGCCACTCCGAAGTAAGTACATCCCCTCTGCTGGTCACTCATCTCTGTGTGCGCGGGTCACGCGGGTCGACGATGCGCCTTCGTGGCGCTCGTTCTCCGGATTCTGGGCGACACATGGTGAAGTTCAAGCAGTTGCTCCAGCATTTAGCTTCAAACGTTGCATTGCCCAACTGAACTTCTGAATTGACAGAATGCTCTTGAGGCTCTAGAACCCAAACAGTCTCCACCAAGTCTACACAAGTTTCACGCGGATGGCCTGGATTTCTTTTTACATTTTTCAGAAATAGTACTGACATGTATATACTGACCACTCAGGCTCATGAAGCTGAACTACTACCCCTTGTGGATCATTCATGGGCCAATGGTCGACTTTCATTGTGGTCAAAGAGAGGGCATGTAATTGGTCACTATTGCACTGATTCTCCCCAAACCTCCTAACTCATCCCAGTGGATGTTGTAGGATTATAAACATGCTCTTGCAAGCAATGTATGTAGCAAGAAAGCTTGACACTCTAGCACATCATGTGCCTGCGCCGTTGCTGGAGCAACTGTGTTGGAATCAAATGATGTGAGTCAACAGAAAGTATCCGACTGTCTGGAATCCACACTTCCTGAAAGAATAATGGTTACATGGATCGCCCCGCAAGGATGACAGTTTCTTTCGCAACAAACAGGTGGTGCCAATCCACTTCCAATGTGCAGTGATTTCGATGGCACAGTCCCCAAAAGGGGTTTAATATGGACCCCGCCATTGGAATTCCTCTTTGGGTTTGTGCTACTTGGAAACCAGGGTGAATGACTCCTGTTGGAGATGTGAAGGGCAAAGGCCTGAAGCACGAAGTCCCGCTCTGCGGGTGCCGTATTGTCCGGGGAGACACCCAGCCAATGAAAGTGTGTCTATGTTCCGAACCTTCCCAGGGGATCGAGCTGGGAGGTTCTCTCGGCCCTTTTTTTTAGATGGCAAGCTACCTGGAGCCTCGAAAGTACCCTACAACATGGGACATGACCCTGTAAAACACAGGTACTTGTACCCATATTCCGGGGATTTCCGGTGTACTTTGAGACTCCAGGTGCATGTGTTTGGGAGTAATTGTAATTTGTACCAACACGAGCGGTCGCCGGACGTACTCTTGAGACTCACACCGACATAAACTTATTTCTGAAATGACACGTCGAACGGACTGGCAGCCATGCAAGTGTCCAGATCCTCCCATGATGGC